CTTGAAAGTATACTAAGCTTTAGAAAAAGAAAAATCAAAGATCTTCAAATGGAAGTGATGGCAAGCAAAAGCTTGGAAAGAAGAGTGAGATTCTGATGGCTGTGAATAGGTAAAGGGCACTCTGAACAAGAGGCCTGCTGCTCTCAGCTCTTTCTCCTGGTGAAAGCCACTTCCTATCCCTGTTCGAACTGGCCTATTAATAACAGCCTAGGCAACCTACCTATAATTTCTTCTTAATTTACCTTGGATCAGGAAAAAGACTACAGGATTGTCTAATTTTTAAGTAAATTAAGAGATAATGTAGTTTGGAATATCTGCTGGCACTGGGTCACCTGACACCCATAGCGACTCAATGTTATCCTCCCTCCTCCTCCTCTAGCTAGCTCCAAGCTAAGCTCAGTGTTAACATGACATCATGTTACAAGGCTGCAGTCTTGGCAGTTCACCAAGTTACAATATAGATTTTGCTTAATTCCAGAAGCTAGTGTGTTCAAACGGTTGTAGAATAAAGAAATCACAGCTACGTCACTCAAGCATCTGTAACTTATAGGGATGCCTTTGTGACTCTGGAAAAATATAAAAATTGTAACGTAATACCTACCTCATGTGTTAAAGGTAGATTTACGAAGGCAAGCAAATAAAATACAGGCATACCTCAGAGATACTGCAGGTTTGGTTCCAGACCACAATAAAGCGAGCGTTGCAATAAAGCAAACTGTAATCTTTTTGTTGGTGGAGGATCTTGCCTTCGATTTGTAAAACATGCAACATCTGTGAAGTGCAGTAAAGCAAAGTGCAAGGAAACAAGGTATGCCTGTATGCCTGTAACTTGCTTCTACGATTTAAGAATTATTAGAATCTATTTAGTCCATGACAATGTTAGGGAGATAGATAGTAGTAAGGAGTTTGGTTTATTTTTCGATCACAAGTGACACAGTCAATGAAAAACTGAGAAGCCAAGGACCGTCACAGAGTCTTCATCACCAACAAATAGCTCCACACTATAAGTAACTACTATTTCCAACTTATCCAGGTCATGTAGGCACTAAGGGGCAGAAGCAGGACTCCAGCCTCACAGTATGACTTCATACTACAGTATTAATTTAGAATAGGTAAGAAGTGAGAAGGTAGGCAGGAGTAAGTGTATCACCTTTGAAGACAGGTTTAGCTACTCAGTTTCCCTGGGGAAGATGACAGCATGGGAAAGGGCCACTCACTTTCCCTTGGTAAGGTGACAGCATGGAAACTTGGTCGACATATTAAACAGTGAGTACATAGCAAGGAGGAGGGGAAAAAGTACTGCAGCCAGCTTGAAGGGCCCCTTAATACAATGCCTAGGATTTGTTTCGATACATAATGTCCACAAATGGCCAATTTACTATAGGATGAGCTGTTGGATCTCTATTAAACATGAGAGTTCAAGATTATCAGGACTTTTTGTTTGCTTAAAGACTAGGGCCATCGTTTAAAAAGTCAGGAAGCGAACAAAAATCTGAACTATATTGTCTGTCCACTCAATCTTATCTGTTCAGAAAGACCCCAGTATCCTTTAAATATGGGTAGTGAAGTTTTGTCCTGTAATTCTAACAACTCTTGGAGATTATACAGATCAGGAGTCAACAGTAATACGCTCTTGTTTCCTAGAAGCTATTTCATTTTCAAATTAAACATAGCCTATGCTAATAATTTTGGACTTTCAGAAAAGATTTGTGTTTGTCATGATATTGCTAGGGATATAATTGAGGGGTTAAGCTTTTTGCAAGAGCTGACCATTAGAACAGGAATTAGTACATGAGGCACTTCAGTTAGGACTGAACTCTGCTGCTACCTTCCCCACTAAGAACAGAACAAATGGAAAACAAGCTTACTTCCTGGGAGTAAAGGGAATCAGGGATTCCTTTACTTTTTGTGTAAAACTTTTCGTGTAAAAGGCCAGAGAGTAAACATTTTAGGCTTCTGGTCAAATATAGTCTGTATATTATTTTTTTAACAATCCTTTTAAAATGTAAAATTTATTTTTAACTCATAGACTGCAAAAAACAGGCTGTGGACTGGATTTCACCCACACATAGGCTATAGTTTGCTATCTCTGGTACAGAAAATAAATGGGAATGCATGTGAAACGGTTTCTGGGACTTTATTAAATAATGTAGATTTGGGGCAAATAAGAGGTGAAGTAAAGACAAGCTATTGTCAAGTAATTATCTGAGCCATAACAGCTCACAGTAAACATGAAGAGGACACAATACAGCTACCTGTGAATACAGATAACACTAACTGGGAAAAGGAAAAAAAAAAAGCACAGGAGGAAAGAACAAAAATAAAAAGCTCGTGAACCATCTCAAGCCTTCAAGAAAACTTCACTCTACTGTAGGGGAGAGGCTGGAAACAATGGCAGTGCAGCTGTGTGCCTGAGTTCACCAGTTAAGAACTGAAACACTGACTTCAGTGAACCTTTTCAATAACAATTAGAAGAGAGAAGTCTATCAGAACTCTATTGTTGTCAGCGGCCTCCAGTGAGCTAGGACAGGAACTGTCTACAAGTCTTGCAGCTAAAGAATGGTACATAAATTTAACTCATTTAAGTGAAGAGACACATTTAAGTACACAAAAGCAAACTGTACTCCCTACTATGTAACTTACTTTTTATTGAAAGGATCTTGCATTCAAGATGGATGCTTTCTGGGTTTTGCCACACATTTTAATGTTAAAGGTTAAATTTTCTTTACATGCAAGTAGTGTAGTTTTCCCCACATGGGATCACTGATTACCACAAGGGTTGTCTTTTTTAACTGAAAAGCTAACAAACTGTCTAGTTACATGTCCTCTAAAACCACAAACTGAGTAGTAACTGAGTGCCTAGCCAACATATTCAAAGCTGAGAGGATTAAAAATGCAAAAACAAGTCCTCAGATCCAATTACGGGAGTCCCATTACATACGGGCTTTACCAATACCAGAGGTATTGCTTAATTCCAGGAAGCTGGAGGACACCCTAATAACCACCACTTAGACATTTACCTCAAAGAGCCTTTTTCTAGCTTCCAACTCATGAATAAAAATGTTAATTCTATTTCAGAAAACTTTTGCAAGTTGTTTTATTTACAATGCCAACTTTTAAAAGGTCACTAAAGTTAACTAGACAATAAACTAGACAGAAATCGCTTTACAAAAAGAGGGAAAGCCCAAAATGCCACTTTCTATAGAGAACCCACAGTTCGATTTTATTTAGAGCAAAGAAAAAAGAAACTTTTGATCATACTGGAAGAAACTCAGCCATAGGTTTGGAATCTGTACCCAAACAACACATGCAATGAGGACAATATTCTGCTAATACAATTGATTTGCTGCTGCATTTGTCTACTGTTTGCCTAATATTAACAATTATAAACAGAGCAGTGCAACTAGTATTTGGAATAATCCTTACAGTGTTACAGTGTCAGGCACAACATTTCACTTCTCTTCACACCACTGGTTCTCTTTGCGTACCTAGAAGAGATGGATATGAGGAAGTACCTTAAGTAGTCTTTCCCAATATTACTACCTAATATTAATTGATCAATATCCTGTGAGATGAGTCAGAAAGGGGTGGATGGAAAACTGAATAAAAAGGCAGTGGGCAATTATAGCTTCAGCTGCCAGAGCTAACAACAAATTCAAATAGTTCATTCACATTATTTCAGTTTGTAGCTGTCAACAAAATCATTCTGATCTATTCATCCATTTACTAAGTTGCTCTGATATATCCTAACACACAACCATCATAGGACCCACTTTTCTGAAGTCACAGCTTACACATAAGGTCTCAGGTACCTTAATGTTTATTTTTTTAAGAAAGCAGTATATTTAAATGTTTAGACTCACAAAGACAGACCCATCTCTAAGAGAGAAAATTTTTAGGATACAAAAGGTAGCTAGTATACCTCAAATACAGTCAATACTCCTTGATACAGACACTTCTTTTCCTGGTATGTTATAGGTTTCATTCTCTTTTAAAAAGCATGTGATCAAGAACAAGCTGTGGGCTACCTACCTGGGCTTCTTCTTCTTCAGTAAAATCATTTTTGATATTGAAAGTCTTGCGAATCTCCTCAGGAGTTTTCCCCTTGATCATATTGGCAACAGTCTTGCATGTAACATCAAGCAAACCTTTGATGTCTAAGTAGTTTGCAGCCTGTAAAGTGATTGTTTTCATTAAAATGTACTTGATGTTTTAAACTAAATCCAAAGTTAGTGACTGGCAATCCATATGTAATTTAAGCTTAAAATGCTAATTTTAAGAAATCAAATGGAGAATAAACGAGGCAAGTTCTTCTGTGAAAGATATTTTTACATCTTTTGTTATACTTCTATAATTCTGAGTCCTTATGCTGCCTTAAGCAAACTATACACACTACACTTCAAATATTAAAAGAATGGCCACTACTGCTGTGTGTGTACATCCAAGTGTAGACAAGCACATGTCAAATCTTGACAAAAATATTTAAAGAATTCAGACAAAAGCAGTTATTGCATTACCTTTGAGACATAAGAAGTTACTGCATTACCTTTTATTGATCTTCTGAAAGAATCAGCTTTTGGTCTCTGATTTTCTGTTTTCCAATTTTCTACTGATTTCTGCTTTTATCTTTAACATTCTCTTTCTTCGGGTTTAATTTCATCTTTTGCTAGTTTAAGGTAAAAGCTCAGATCACCGATTTGAGACTTTTCCAATATAAATGTTTAGTGCTATCGGTCCCCCTCTAATACTACAAGGCATCTCATAAATTTTCATGTGTTCTATTTCCATTCAGTTCAAAATACTAATTTTTATTTTTTCTTTGACTCACAGGTTACTGAGAAATGTTAGTTTGCAAATATTTGCAGATTTTTCAGATAGCTGTTACTGATGACTAAATTCCCCTGTAACCATAAAACACACACACTGTGTGTGACTTGAATCCTTTCAAACTTGAGACTTGTTTTACAGCCCAGAACATGTCTACCTTGGTAGTACACACTATAAAAGAATATGTATTCTGTTGTCACTGATGTCATTCTATAAATGTCAATTAGGACAAGCTGGCTAATAGTGTTTGTTATTCAAGTCGTCTATACCCTTATTGATTTTCTACTTGTTTTATCAATTATTTAGAGACATGCTGAAATTTCTATTATGAATTTGTTTATTATCCTTTGATTTTTATTTTTTAACTTTTTGGAAGTTCTGCTTTTAGGCAGGTAAATATTTAGGATTGTTATGTAATCTTAATGATGAACTGATCCCTTTATCATTATGCAACAACCATCTTTAATCCTGGTACTATTCTTTGCTCTAAAATCTTTAATATTTTATTAATACTTTAATAAAGTATTAAATAAAGTATTTAATAGTCGCTCCAGTTTTCTTTTGATTAATGATAGCATAATACATCTCTCTCCACCCTTTAAACCTAATTATGTCTTTATATTTAAAGTGAGTTTTTTTTGTAGCTAGAATAGCTGTCTCACATTTTTTTATCCAATGTTACAATCTCTACCTTTTAATTGTGGTATTTAAACCATTTATATTTAATGTGATTACTGATGAGGATTTAAATATAGCACTGCATTTGAGTTCACAGAGTGTTAAAATTCAGTATCAATGAATTTAACAAATTTAACTCTACAAGTACTAAAGGCTTCGAACTAGAGATATCTTGTAGCATGCATTAAAAACGTACCAGTATAAGCTCAAAAAGTGTTCCTTGGTCGACTTTCAGAAATTCTTGGTCCCAAACCGGGATATCATCTGTTCGCTTTTCTTTGTTCTCATCATCCTCAGGAGGAGGAGGGTCATCCTTGTGGTGGGTGCACCACTGAATGACCTACAATAACAAAAGTTCATTCCTCTGCGGCATTTTGTCACAAGGTGTTCATTCCACTGCTGGGGCAAGGTTATTCCTACACCAGACTAAGAACTAGCTAGAAGTTGACTTGAATAATAAAGTTAGTAGCCAAGTTCAAAAAGCAAAAATGAAGGCTGAGGAATCTTCACAACTCTAGAGGGTGGAAGATTTTATATAAGTGAATACTGCAGACTGATTACTATATTTGACCACATTAAAAAGCTTTGAAAAAAGATATATAAAGTCAGGACAAGGGCTGAAAAATACCTACGACATGTACCACCTACAATGGATTACTCTATAGAATATAAAATCTGAAAAATCACCACAAAGAAATAAGTTAAAGATGTGAACTGGCAATTCACAAAAGAAATTTTAATAGCCAAATGCTCAGCCTCAATAGATGCAAAATTAATGCTACACTCAGATGCAACTACTTTAGATTGCCAAAAAAAAATCAAGGTTTTGATACTAATTGGCAATAGCATAAGAGTAACATGAACTCTTCTACTGAAGAGTGTAAACTAGAGTAACCCTTTTAAAAAGTAATCTAGTTCTACCCAGTGAAGCTGAGTATGTGCATACATTATCACCAAGCAATTCTAAATACCCAGGCATATGAACAAGACTATTCAATGTAATAACAAAGCAGGAAAAGCCCAGATGTTCTTACTAGGGGAATGAACACATTATATTTTCAGGAAGCTGATCAGCTAGACTATGTGTACTATCATAAAGGCCAAAATCAACTCCAAAAGTGTTAAGCTGTAGAATCTAGCTGGTAAGTAAATGGGTGTTTGAAGTATAATTCAACTTTTCTGTATGATTAAAATTTTTTCATAGTACAATGCTGGGGATTACAAACAATGCTGAGAAAAAATAGCAGAGCCAAGAAATTATACTGCCAGGATGCAAAAAAGGAAAAGGACTATTTCTAGAAGAAAAAGCCAAGCATAAGGGGCTTTAATGAAATAAACGATAGCTTTTTAAGAAGTATTTCAGTTGTATAAGGAAGAAACAACAATTAGTATTTGCTTATACAGGCATTAAAAAACTCTTAAAAGGATAAATTAATGCTATTACTTACAAAGGTTTCTGGTCAGACTAGAGACAAGAGATTTTACAATATATTTTTACAGTTTTTAGATCATGTGATTATTCAATATAAAGTTTAAATATTTATAATAATGCAAAAGGATTAAAAAACCTTATTCTCAGAAATGGCCTTATATCATCCAACTCATCAACTCTGACCTTTTCTACTCTACTTTGATTGTTCATTATACTCCAGCCACCTCAAAAGGTACGGCATGATCTTGTCTTAGCATCAAAGCACTTGCTCCCATTGACCAGAACTCTCTCCCCAGCCAGTCTTTGTTCAAAGACCATCTTCTCAGTAAGGTATTTCCTGACCATCTTTATTTTTTAAATAACTAACTCTCCACCTACCAACCCACTTATCCCCCATAGCTTTTCCATTTCGTATATTCCTTATGTTGCACATTTCCCCCACACCTTTAGAATGTGAACTCTGTAAGGACGAGGATTTTGTCTTTTTGATTCACTGCTGTACCTCCTACACCTAAAACTTGCCTGGTACTTGAACGAATGCAAGCAAAAGTCTTTTTAGACGCATTTTACATTATTATAAAATATAATGTTAATTGTAAGACAATACTCAGAAGCCAGAAAGGTGAGCTAACTAAAATATAAAGCTTGTAAGCCACAAAATACTATGAATTGACATAAGACAAGCAAACAAAGTTTATATAGAAACTCTATATAAAGAAATCCTATAAAAAGCCCACAAGACTACAAAATGGATGAACTTTGAAAACATTATGCTAAGTGATATAACTCAGACACAAAAGGACAAATATTGTATGATCTCACTTATATGTGGTACCCAGAAGAGTCAATTCAGAGACAGAAAACAGAATAGTGATTACGAGGGGTTGGAGGAAGGGGCTAATGAGGAGTTATTATTTAACAGGTACAGAGTGTCAGTTTAGGGTGATGAAAAGATCTCCAGAACATCTTCAGTTCTGGAGATGGTTAATGGTGATGATTGCACAACAATGTAAATGTATTTTATGCCACTGAATTGTACGCTTAAAGTTAAAACGGTCAATTTTACGCTATCTATATCTTACCATATTTTTCCCCCCTAGGCAAAGGAAAACAGACAATGCAGAAAATACAAATGGCCAATAATACATGTAAAAAACATTCAGGCTCAGAGAAGAATCGCCTTTTACGCAGTCTAGTTTAAAAAAACTGGTAACAGACGATTGTGGCCAAGAGTATGGAAACATGCAGTGCAGCTGCATCTCACACCAGGGTCAAAAGAAAGCATAAGATGAAACTGCATATGGTCAATGACTTTTGAAGAGTACCATAGGAAGGGGCCAACTGGAGTCAACCATTCCCATCTCTAAGCCTAGATAGTTTTCCCCCCAATAAAACCAATTGCTGTTTTTTCAGATGAAAATACAATTGAAATGGCTGGCTCTGTTAAGGAGCCATGCACCCTGAAAACACTAAAATCCTATTTGATGTGGAGAGCCATTTACGTTTAGACAATAGACACAAGATAAGGTGATCAACTGAAGAAACAAAAGTACATTTCTTGTTCTCAAGCTTTCTTTGAGCCATACTCAATCGGTGCACGAACTATACAAAAATTTTCCTTTTTGCTAAGCATGTACTATTATAGTTCTGCAATTTAAATGTTAATGAAAAAGACTAGACAACTCAAATATTCACAGGTCCTGGTTAAAAAAACTACAACAAATAGAGTCATAATTATACTATGTAGTTTTTCTTAAAAGGAAGCTATTTCTGAATCAATATAGAAAGATCACCAGAATATTGTGAAAAGAAAAAGATATACAAGTGTATAGTTTGCTACCTTACCTTTTTTAATATCGCTGCATTAACATTTGGTAGAGGAACTGGGTCATCATCACCTTCATCATCCATTCCCAAATCTAAGAAAACCAGAAGAGAGTTGCCATTATTTCCTAACCAGGCTATTTCTCAAACAAGTAATTTGTAAGATATGTTGTCTGAAACATCATAAAAAGTACAATACTAAGAATAGTTCTTTCGACAGCATTTAAAATGGGTGGTTCCTAACAGGAAGCCCATGAACCACCCCAAACTATAAAGTTTTATCAAGAGAGTTCTTAATTAGAAGAAAAATGATTTAATAAGGTGACTAAGATGAATGGGCAGCTATTTGGGGAAAAAATGAAGCCAGACCCTTTTATCCTTACTCTTTATACTAAACTCTCTAGCTAGACTGCATTTAGAAAAACAAAACAATGACAAGTATATTACAAGTAATGGAATCTCACACAACAGATCATGCAACCACTGACAAAAACAAGGCAGGTAGCTCCATATATACTGGCATAATTTCAAGATTAAAGTTTTTAAAAGCCAAATATAAAAAGAAATGTTATCTGAATAAAAATGAGAATATACTTATATGTTTATATTTAAAGTATCTCCACAAGAATATACAAGAAACTGTTGACAATATCATGTCTAGGGAAGTTAATGAGAATGTGGGTATATCCTTCGGTGTTTGTTAGTTACCATGTACATATTACCTATCATTTTGAATCTATAGGTTTTTCTGGTAAAAAGACTGAACTTTGATTTTCGAAGTGGTCAGTGAACTCCAAGGATACAACTTAATGTAAAAATCCATGTTACTTAAAGATTCTAAATATTTTTCAAACCAAATGAGTCCATCCTTAAGTTTCTACAAAACTAAAAAGAGGTGCCAAAGAAAGTTACTTAATAGTTAGCATGTACCAAGACTATAGGTCAAAAGTTACTACAGAAGTATCTTGGTTGTAGCGGAGTTATGTTGAGATGGCCAGTGTCGAGTCAAACATTTGAGTCCTTGATATATCTAGGTGCTGTCATAGGCAGTGGAGAGTTAGCAATAAATACAGGAGGATGAGAGGAATTGTTGTAATTTTAGAGTTGATCAGGATGTCTCACTGAGAAGATGGCATTTTAGTAAACTTAATAGAGAGAACACCTAAGCAGAGGAAATAAATGCAAAGGCCTTCTGACAGGATTGACATGTTCTAAAACCATTAAGGAATCCAGTGTTGTTAGAGTAGGATTAGCGAGGGTGAACAGAACAGATGAGATCAACAACAGGGGACCTAATAGTAATAGGGTCTTCTGCATTTTGGCTACTGCATTGGGAAGAGATGATAGCAGGGGGGAAAAAAAAAAAAGAGAAACCAATTATAAGGCTAGCAATAATCCAAGTACAAGATGGTGGCTTAGACAAGGTTTATAGCGATACAAGAAAAAATGGTCCAACTCTATATGCATTTTGAAGGTAGAAGCAACAGGACTTGCCAACAGATGGGAAATGTGAAAGTCAGGGAAGACTAAGGTTTATGACATTAGGAACTACATGGATGGAGTTGCTATTAATTGATATAGGGAAGGCTGTCAGAGAACTGTGATTTTTGGATGGCAGTGAATCAAGAACCCTAGTTTCATAAGTTTGAGATACCAATTAGATATCCAAGAGAAGGCCAAGCAGTTAAATATGCAAGTCTAAAAATCAAAAGAAGACACCAGAACTGTAGGTAAGCCTAGGAATTGGTGTATAGGTGGTTTATAACACTATGAGACAAATGAGATGACCAACAGAATGAATGAGTATAGATATAGTAAAGAAGTCCAATGATTAAGCAAGCCCTGGGGAACTGTAGGCTTTGAAGATAGGGAGACAGAGGCTACAAAAGTGAGTTAACAAGCAAAGAAAGTATCCTGAAGCCAAAAGTAGATGAGAATGATCGACTGTCAAATGCTGTAAAGAGGCCTAGATGAGAAATGAAACATTTCACTTGACAACATGGAGGTTACTGAGTTTAACAGGCAGTTCCAGTGGAGTTTAGATTCAAAACAGTATCTTATTTTCCTTAATGGAGGGAGTCATTCATCGCCCCTCTCCTCCTTCCCACCAATGTCTTTCCCTGATCCTATCTCTGCCAGGAACAAAACTATAAAATGACAATCTCTCAATTTGGATCAAGCCACTCATGCTTTTCCAGAACTAGCATGAAGTATTTTTAATAGGAGGGGAGAGAAAAAAATTACCTATGTAAAATATTTGTTTGGAAAATTAAGACTTAGAGGAATCCAACATAATACGAAAGACCAGCTAGTTTAGATACAAACGTTACTTGAAAGAAGGCTTACGTTACATTAAAAGTAAGGGCCTATGGTTGTAAAGGATTACTTCTGTAGCATTTAAACTAATGATTTGCAATGTTTTTTCTTTGTTGTTGTTTTTTTGCTTTTAGACCTAATGCACAAGTAGCAACAGTCATTCCTTTAAGCTATTTAGTTTCAAGGACTTTGAAAGACACCTGTATCCTGATACTGCACCCTGGACCTGAATAAATCAATCCACAAGTACAGAAGCCAAGATTTTCACTTCTGATTGTCCTGTGATTAGAAGGGTTTTATTTTTGTTTTCCCATAATTAGAGATACTGCAGATGCAAAACAAGGAAAGCAGTAAGTTGCCAAACTCAATTCAAAAAGACTCTAGTCCTCAAGAGGCTAGAATTCTATATAAACCACTAGTATTCAAGATAAAACCATTCGCCACTTATGTACAAATGTGATGGAGGAAAAGAATCATTTAACTGTTGCTGTCTATCAGTCTACTTGATTAAGTGATCCAAGTTGGTGTGGAAAATCATTAAGGAGCCCTATGTTTTTATATTGGCAAATGCTTCTTTGAAGCAGCACAGGACAGATCACTGTGCCAAACACCAACAAAGATAAAACAAAGAACGCTTTCACTGTCAAAGCAAGTATTCAGGCGACAACTGTGGTATCAGTTTCTAAATCTAGATAAAGCCTTACTCACCTGCTCTTAGAGACACTTGCAATGCTTTCACACTCTTATTAGTGACCATACCATAGTTCTTCATTCAACAGGTACCTGATCAACAGTGACTGTGGGATGTACCAAGGGGTCTATGATCTACATATGTAGGTTACCAGGATACAGGACATGATTGGTATCAGCAAAACAGAAGTCACCTACTAAGAAAACAGAAGACACACCCTCTGCAATTCAGCTTCTGCCTCTACCACACCTAATATCTGCTGTTAGAAGTCCTCTAACTCATTAACTGTGAAATCCTAAATGACCAGGCTGCAGCATATGAATCCAATAATCACTCTGGTCATCTCAAAATGCTTCCCTCTTCCCTTGGCTTCCACAAATCCTACTCCACTGATTCTCCACTTCTGACTTCTACACTCCCGCCCCAATATGGCCAACTGCCAACCTCATTTACTCCCATAGATATATACTCTCATAACCCACCATACAAATAAGTCTACAGGAGTCTACAACACAGGGACCAAAACACATATTCAACTGCCTACAGATTGTTACAAAGATCTTTTAAAGGAATCTCAAACACATGTAACGTATTCAAGCCTGAAGCCATTTTTTCATTCCTCTCAAACTTGTTCTTCAACTCTGCCAGCTAAAGTATCACAATTTGATCCCACTCCCAAAACCCCAAGTAAAACCTCGATTTTACTTTCTCAATACATCCTACCTCGGAACAATCTCCCAAAACATACTAATTCTACTAGGTTTGAAATATCACACTGTAACTTCTCCATAAGCCTGAAGAATAACATCAGCCAAAAGGTTCCCACAGCACTACTTGGCACATAACTTTATCAATGCACTAATTATACCATGTGACAGTTTGCCTTGTTTGGTGTCTGTCTCTCTTCCTAGTTTATAAATCCTTCCAGAGCAAAGATCATTTCTCGCTTACCTTCTTTTCACCAGCATACAGCTAGTGCTTGGCACGTACCTCTTTAGTATCTCTTAAGTATCTACACACTACAGATCTTCCCTACATAAAAACATTTGATATGAGTACTGAAAAACATTCTTATTACTACTGAGGTTTTTTCCCACCAATTCTAGAAACTGATTTGTATGTTTCATGTACTATTTATGTCCACCAGTCCACTGGTAGTAATACTAAGAGATCCATATTAACTAGTAAAAGTTTCAAAATGTTTCAGAACCTGTTTTTTTGCCTTACTTCTCTGTTGTGCTGCACATACACTTTGCAGCAGTTTCGGAGGAATAACAAAATAGACAAAGGAAAAAACTTGGTTTAAAAAAAAAAAACAACAGACATCTACTCAGTTTACAATCTACTCAGCTTACTCTCTCTGTTGAAACAAGGTGCTCTATTTAGCTACCATATAGAAGGAATCTCTTTTCCAAAGGCTTGAATTTTTGTCATTAGAAACTGTGAGTCTAAATTTTCTTGAAATAGAAATGTACCAGTCTGAGGTTTGGAAGTCATTTCAATGTTAGCTTATGCATCTATTTAAAAAGGAAAAAAAAAATCATTAATTCAAACAATTCAGAAAGGGTGACCTGTATCAGAAAAATGCAGTTAAGACCTTAAAGATAGGTAAATGTCACCCTTTCATATTCTAAGTACTTTATGACAAATTATTACTTGTATAAATCTGATGTTCACAGGTTATATCAAACTTGTGTTTTCCCCTTTCCCCTGACCAAGGTTTTTTTTTAATAAACTTACCTTCCAACATAGTCTTGATAGTCACAGATTGTTTGGCAATTTCAACATCAACTTCAAATATCTCTCCATCAGAACTTTGCAACTTAATTGAAGGCATCTAAAAAAAAAGGCATTACACTGAATTCGAAATTTAAGAGATTAGTTTTATATGACACTTCATCAACTACAGTCTGTTAAAAGCCCTCTATAACTTATTAACTATAAAATCCTAAGGACCTGTAGTATATAGCCCTGGAAAATACTGTAAGTGATTATTCGCAGGCTAGCAAACAAGTGTTTCTATAAATTTTTTTCAAAGTATAATTTCTAAGAACAGAAGCTTTTAAAGCCTGAACTCGTTAACCGGTATAAATTTAAGAGTTACATTCCATATTTTTGATGCAAAATATATCTAAAATGGACTTACTCTTTTTGCCTGCCTTTCTGCTCTCACTAAATGACAACTCCATTTGCATAGTTAACTGCCATAATTAACCACCTGCAAACTGGAGGGAGGTCAGTCCATAATAAACAAAGCTACCAAATAAGATGGTAATTTTCCTCCAGTGAGATTTCCAGTGAAAAATGAGTTCAGATCCAAAGAGTAGATCAGAATATACTTATTTATGTTTGGATCAATGCAAGACCATATACCAGAGAATAAAAGATTTAAGAATAAGCTGATGTCAATCTAATTCCCTAAACCCAATGAGAAACTTAAACCTGAGTCCTTTTTATCTTTCATTACTGACTGTCCAGGTGTCCAAGTTTGAAATCTTCTGCCAAAATCTTCATAGTAATAACCTATTACTTGCTCTGAAAATGTATTTACTAACTCAGATTAATTATGAGTCATTAGGAAAAAGACACCTCTTACATAAAAATTAAGCAATTAACCTCAAAGAACTTGAGTTCTGGCAAAAAAACCACACACACACACACGCACCACCACCACCACCACCACCACCACCACCAACCCCCCCACCTCCCCTTACCTCTTTAAAATTAAAAGTTCTAAGCGCACACACACATACACACCACCCCCACCCCCATCCTTTACCTCTTTAAAATTAAAAGTTCTAAGCCAGCAACTTCTCAACCATCTTTAGATTCTTAGGGGGCAGAGTTTGAGCGGGACAGGGAAGGGCAGCAATACCTGACTGTAAAAATTAATTCAAGACCTTTTGAAATTTCAAGTGTGGACTTTAAAAGCTCATGCTTCTGACGTATTCGTAATCCTGTGATGTAACTATTAATTTGAAAGTACAGAATTTGGCATTTAAAACATTCACGGCACCCATTTTAGGTTCAAAGACTTAAAACTCATTAAATCAGTTAAAATAGTCATTCATCTTTTCCCATACAATGATCTCCATCCTCCAAACAGACAAGCTGTTAGGGAAAGGAAGAAAAAAGGTAAAGTTATGTTTTAAAAACCATAAAAATATGGTTTTGAAATATCCTGCTCTCACTCATCCATGGCTGGAAAGAACTGAATTTCACTTTTCAGTTCACAAATGTCTGCTTCTCCATGTTGCTTAGTGCTTGCCAATAACGCCCAGAGCAAGGGACCTTCCCTGTGACAGGCAATAACAAAAGGAACCCCAAAGGAAATATTTTAACGCGAGCCAATTTTTAATTACAAAATATTCTGTTCTTTTTATGTTCCATAGTACTGGTATGAACATTACAGAATCACGAATACGGCAATGCAGTTGATAAAATTACTTTTAACCAAAACAACATTTCCATATTTCTTTCAAATAACTCAATAAATAACAAGATCTGCTTAGTCACAGTCAAATTCGTGGATTAGGTTACTCTTAAGGGAGTTGAGATCTTATTAAATAGCAGGGACACAATCGGCTAATCTGTAATTCGATGCACTTTGTAATCCTAAACTCAATATTCAAAGAGACCTTTTTTTTAGTATTATACACCTGAAATTCAGTGCAAAATTTTTAGAGCGTAATGGACGAAATTTTGACTTCACACGCTTCCAAGACTATTCCTTCAATTCTTTAGGCTTCTGTACTTGGAAATTAAATCACCCTCCACGGCTGGCATGAAGTGGGTTCTATCATTATAAAGAAAAAAAACTGTTCTAAGGGACCCAAAATTCTGACACCTCTTTCTAGAGGGCAGAGTGGAGAAGTCTGCATTGCTCTATGACACAGATACATTCTATTGTGACGCTCTGATAAAACCCAAACCTGAAGTCTCCATTAAAAACTAAACCAAAGCAAGTGAACGTCCTATCCCTTTAAAAGTCAGACACCTGGAGTTAAGTTTTTACAAAGTTAAGGCTCCTATAAGTCACACCCTGTGACGATGGTATCTGCTATTACAACAGTTGTTTCAGCAGCTCCAGGCTGTGGCAAAATAAGAGAAATATTCAGAAGAAGCAGGCGACTATCTCCAAAGATTCGGCCCTCGCTCAGTTAGCGAAGACCCGTGACTAGTGACTCCCGAGACCGGGAAGAGAAAGGACGGGGAGCCAGAATCAAGCGCTCCCAGACTACCACCGCCACGCTCCCTCCGACACCAAAACAAACACGACGCACGCTCACGACAGCCAAGGGACCTTCACTCAAAGCCTCGCTGCCACCCCCGCCCTGGGTCCCCGAGGCCGGTAGGCTCAACGCCAAAGGAGGCCCCAGGCCCCAGCCTGGGCCTTGCAGCCGAGCTCCGCGCCAGCTGCCGCCAGCCCCGTGCAGAGAAGGCCCAATCCTGGGCTCAGCTCGCATTTTCGCCTGCCCGCCCGTCCGAGCACCCATGGGGAGTTGTGACGACCCGCAGCCAAAAGAGGCCTCGCCAAGTCGAGGGGCGGGTGGAAGAACGGGGCTCGCCGGCACCTCCCGAAGAACGGGGTCTAAAACGGGTTCCACCGGGCCTGAGGGCAGGCCAGGCCCAGGTGCCTCCCGCCTCGGGTAGGCCAAAGCCCCAGCAGTGCAGCAACGCAGCTCGCAATTCGTGGCGCCACCGTCCCTTCCAGCTCGGTCGGCGGCTACTCACGGTGCTTGGTCTCAAAGAGACAGCAGGCCGGAGGCTGACGAGAGTGGGGCGGCGTCAGCAAACACGAGAAGAGAAAAGCGGAGAACAAGGCCACTATCACGGCGCGGCGCGGCGTCGGCCTTTATATGAGCGGCGCAGGCGCCGAGGACCCCGGGGCCCGTGGCGTCACAGAGCCGGCGGGGCTGGCCACCGAGTTTGCCTGACGGCAGATGGAGGACCAGGTGGGGAGGCGGGACCAGCGCGCCGGAGGGGCGGGGCCGGGCGAAGAGGCGGCGGGAGCGGCGGGGCTTGGTTCTCAACCTAACCCCTTGAAATCGCGGCTCGCGGTTCTCAGAGGGAACAGGGAACTGGATGGGGTACTCCGCGGCCTGCGAGGGTCCTTCAGGCAGGGTTATCCTAAGCCGTGTTAAATAAAGACTCCAGTCCCAAAAAGCCTAGAACGCGTGTGTGTGTGTGTTGGGGGAGGTGCGGGGGCGGGGGCAGGTCTGGGTGTGTGTCTGGGTGTCTGAGTTTGGTATGTGGAAGGGGGTGCTTCTCAAGACGGGAAAGCTGGAGTCAGGGAAAGCAGATGAGTTTTGCAGTCACCGCTCTGAGATTCTGCTCAGGGCCTCAGTGACTTCCACTGAACCTGACATGAGTTAGCCCACTGTCCACAATAATCTATGAGGTGAAATATCGTTACCCTTTTTCTCCTTTAGATGTGAGAGAACAGGTTCCCAACGGTTCAG